CATGGGGAAATGCAGGAGTAGGAGAATGAGTTAGGGTGGGATGCTCTTCGGAGGGGTGGTGTGGACTTGTTGGGCTGAATGGCCTGTTTCCACACTGTAGGGATTCTATGATCCACAAAGAAACTAGGAAACTAAGTTGTGAAGATGACATAAGAAGAATACAAATGGACATAGGCAGGTCAAGAGAGTGGCCAATAATTTAACAAATAAAGTATTATGCAGAAAAATTGTCCATTTTGGCAGGAAGAATAAAGAAAGAAGCATACTATCTAATGGTGAGATATTGTAGAACTCTCACTTATAGAGGGATCTGGATGTTCTCATACATGAATTGCAGTTAGTATACATGTATAGCAAGTAATTATGAAAGCTAATAGAATGTTACTGTTTATTCTGAGGGTAACTTACACAGTTGGTGAGGTTATGCTTCATTTATACAGGGCACTGATGAGATCACCTTTAGAATACTGTGTGCAGCATGGATGTCTTTATTTAAGGAATGTTGTAGATGCTTTGGAAGCACTTCATAGAAAATTTACCAGACTAATAATTGGAATGTTTGGATTGTTATGTGAAGAAAGTTGATAGGCTTGGCTTGTACCATAAGACATAGAAACAGGATTAGGCCTTTGAGCACATTGATTTTGCTTTGCTGCCTTCTACAATAGCCATTAATTCTCTTACTAATCAATAACCTATCTATCTCTGTCTTAAATACACTCAACGACTTGGCCTCCAAAGCCTTCTTTTTTTACCTTTTATTCATTAACAGGACGAGGGCATTTCTGGCTAAGCAGTATTTATTGCCAAGTGGGAAGTTCAGAGTCAACCATATTGCTGTGGGTCTGGAGTCACATGTACCCAGGCCAGGTAAGGATGGCAGTTTCCTTCCCTAAAGGGCATGGGTTTTTCCCAACAATCGTCAATAGATTCTTGGTCATCATTAGAGTCTTAATTCCAGACATCTTACTGAATTCAAATTCCACCATCTGCCATGGCGGGTTTCGAACCTGGGCCCTCAGAACATTATCTGGATCTCTAGATTAACAGTCCAGCAATAATACCACTAGGCCACTTCTGTGACAATGAGTTCCACAGATTAACCATCCTCTGGTGAAGAAATTCCTTCTCATCTCACTTCTAAAGGGCCATCCCTTCACTCTGAGGCTGTGCCCTTGGATTCTAGCCTCTCCTACTAGTGGAAACATCTTCTCCATATCCACTATTTCCAGTCTCTCAGTATTTTGTAATGTTTAGAAGAACAAGTGGTAGCATGATTAAAACACACAAAATCCTGAGGATTCTTGACAGGGTAGGTGCAAAAGGGATATTTATTCTTGTGGGACAATCTCAAACTAGGGCTAACTATTTAAAAAATACAGGAATGCCTATTTAAGACAGAGATGAGGAAAAATTATTTTCTCTTGGAAAATGACAAGTCTTTGGAACTATTTTCCTCGATAGGCATCGGAAACAGAATTGTTAAATATTTTTAAGGCAGAGGTAAATAGATTATTAACAAGCAAGGTATTCATAAGTTATTGGAGTAAGTGAAAATGTGGAGCAATCAGATCAACCATCATCTTGTTGAATGATGGAGCAAGCTCAAAGGCTGAGTAGCCTACTCTTGTGTTTAATTTGTATATTCATTGTGTGAAGTAGCCTTGAAGCACAAGTAAACCCTTTCTCATAAGCAGATATGAAAGCAGCTATGAATTTTGTATACTTTATGGGCCATTTTTAGCAGTCAGTGGGAAAGAGATATCCCTGATACAAATTGCTCCTTTCGCAATTTCAGCTTATTTCTGACCCCAGTTGAAGGGATTTCCAATGTTCCTCTAGCAAGTTAAAGTGGCCAGTCACATTAAAGTATTCTTACAGTCAGCAAACCAATGAATAAAAATCACTGAATAACTTCACTTTCTTTTACTGATAGTGAAATAAATAATCAGGGATTAATGTCAAAAATAAAACATATATCTTTTTTATTATTTGATAAACATGTGAAATTTGACTACTTTGATTTTGCAATTACAAAAACATCATTGAACAGGAAGAGGTGTCGGTCTTGGGTTTGGAGATCAGTCTTGAGCTGGGCCTGTGTTTCCATTAGTAATGTTCTGGATGGACCTGAAATGCAGGGTTACAGAGATAGGGTAGGGGAATGGGTCTGGGTGGGATTCTCTTTGGAGGGTCAATGTGGCTTGGTTGGGCCGAATGGCCTGACTCTACACTGTAGGGATTCTATGGATTCTATGGAAACTTGTCGGTTGTATCTAACAGTTCATGTGATACAGCAACACAATATCCCAACATAGAAATTTCACAATCAACAAATATAATTTTTTTTTTTTCAGAATCAAAGGCTATTAAAGAATATAAAAACCAAAAGAACTATAGATGCTGTAAATCAGGAACAAAAACAAAGTTGCTGGAAAAGCTCAGCAGGTCTGGCTACATCTGTGAAGGAAAAAACAGAGTTAACGTTTCGGGTCCGGTGACCCTTCCTCAGAAATAATTTGTTTCTGTTGCTATTAAACAATAATTTGAAACTTAGTATACCATGAGAAACCCAGTTTTAAAAAAAACTCATCTGAATATGTATAATGTATAATATGTATAACTATCCTGGTGTTTTTACATTAAGGTTAAAGTGTAACCACAGAAGTGTTCATCAGTTCAATGATTTCCAATTGATTGCAGTATGGGGGGGGGGCCTCAACAATGCACCTTTTTGAAAAGTCTCGAACCACTGATAGCCTCTTCTGAGTTTCCAAATTTAACTGTACAGGTGCATACTCCAAACATTTCTGTCACATTCAGATGAATAATATCAGCAAACTCTTCAATGTCATTACTGCTACAAAATCCTAGCAATTGTCATATTTCCCTAAAATAGCCTTGGGAATTCTCCTCACATTGAGCACAATCTCCATAACATTATGTGGAACAAATGGGATCGAATTAGAACAGATTGAGCAACTCAAAACTGGAAATCTGGGACGCACTGTGGGCCAATAGTAGAAGCAGAATTATATTCAACCACAATCATGGCTTGGCATATCATTTCAATACCATTACCATTAAATCACAGGACTCAAACCTGGTATAATGAGGAGGAGAACCAGGCATACCTCACAACGGGCTGTAGACCCAGTGAAGCTATAAAACAGGACAACTTGCAGCCAAATGTGGAAGCAGCTTGCATTGGCAGGACCAAGCAATCCCACAGGTAATGGATCAGATCTAAGCTCTGCGTACCCGTCACATTCAGCCTTAATGGTGGTGAGTAACTAAACAATTAACAGGATCAAGGGCTGCACAAATGTCCCCATCATCAACAATGGGGGCAAAGTGTAAATGACAAGACTAAAGCACGTACATCAGTCTTCAACCAGAAAGGTTGAGTAGATGATCAGAAATTGGGTCAAAATGCTGGAATTCCTTCCCTAATGGCATTGTGGGTCAACCCGCAGCAGGTGGACTGCAGTGGTTCAATACGCAGCTCACCACCGCCTTCTCAAAGGTAACTGGGGATGGGCAACAAATATTGGCCCAGCCAGCGATGTCCACATCCCACAAGCGAATAAAAAAAATCCATGTTGAATTCCTCTGATCAGTCTTCAGCCAATATGATTCCCACCACACGATATCAAAAATTTGCTGAAGCCACTGGATACTGCAAAGACTATGGGTGTTGACAACATTCTAGCAATTGTGCTGAAGATCAGTGCTCTGGATCTAGCTGTGCCCCTAACCATGCTATTACAAAAAAGTTTCAACTTTGGTATCTACCTAGCAATGCAGAAAATTGATTAGGTATGCCCTATACACAAAAGCAAGTAAAATGTCACTAGGCTCATTACTGCACTTTCAGTTTAATCTCGCTCATGAGGAAAGCGGTGGAGGGGTCAATGATAGTATTATCAAGCAGCACCTGCGTAGCACCTGCTCACTGACTCTCAGTTTGCGTTTTGTCAAGACCACTTTACTGGTCTCATTACAGCTTTGGTCCAATTGACCAAAATATTGAACTCCAAAGGGGAGATCAGAGTGACTGCCCTTGACATCAAGGCAGCATTTGATCAGGTATGGTTTCAAGGGGCTGTACAAAAACTAGACTCCATGGTAAACTCTCCGGTTGATCTATACCTCACACAATAGAAGATGAATGTGCTTGCTGTAGATCAACCGTCTTATTCCTAAGACATCACTGCATAAGCTCCTCGAGGCATTGTTCGAGGCTAATAAAATTTAACCCAAGTTTGCCTTAGGGCCTTTTCACAAACTCCATTCCATGTCTCTCCCTGGCCACAGCCTCAGATGAGGTGGTGCAGTGGCTCAGTGGCTCAGTGGTTAGTATAGCTGCCTCACAGTGCTAGGGACCTGGGTTCAAGTCCACTCTTGGGAGTCTGTCTAAAGCTGTCTGTGGGTTCCCTCCAGGTGCTTGGGTTTCTTCCCACAGTGTGAAGATGTACTTCTTAAGTGGATTTGCTGTCCTAAATTGCTTAGTGTGTAGGCTAGGTGGATTAGCCATGGGAATTACAGGGATGGGGTGAGCCTAGTTGGGATGTTAGAGGGGTGGTGTGGGCTAAATGGCCTGCTTCCACACTCTAATGATTCTATAATTCAGACTGCAACACAATTTCAGAATTTGGTGTCCCATATGACCCTGGGCTGAATTTTTGACATAGAACTTCAGGATTACAAAGCCGACTATGTCTCACTGGGCCCTTGGTGCTGCATAAATGCAAGTCGTTATCGATATTTTCATGTGGTTTTAAAAAATGCAAAGTGAATGTTTAAATATCAAAAAGGCTTTAAATGCAAATTTGAAAAAAGTCAAAAAAGGGATAAGCAGTGTTTTGCGTTACTGTGGCGGGATGGAATAAGAACTGATGAAAACTTGAAATTCTGTGTATCTATGATAACCGTTAAGGAGTAATAAAAGGTTGGGTGTTGATAAGAATTAGTAATTGCATTTCACCTAATCGCGGTACCCAACGTGGAGGGCGCAGCCTGGAATGTCAGTGTAATAAGTCACATGATAATATTCATTTCCAGCCGTACCAAGTGTAAAGGCAACATGTAAGTAAAGTCTGCTGTGTCACTACAAGCTTGTATTAATGCTGCAAACTGGGTTAATTTTTTTTGTGATCTGCATGCTGGTTTACTTTCAATATCTGTGATGTGGAGACGGGGAAGTGGATCAGTTCAGCTTGTGCAAGGTTGGATTTGTCGATTCCACTCTCCGAGCTGGAGGAAGTCCGCCCTTGGTTTCCGACAACTTTCTGGCTAACTTTTTGTAGCAAAAAAATCAGTAACAAAACCCAAGCCTGAGCTGCACTTTAGAACTCATCGATGCCACAGACCTTCCCCCCCGCCGTCTGCTTTGAGCGGCTGCTTTTAACTGTATACCACTTCATCTTTGTGTTAGTTAAGTATCACATGGAATTATAAACGTAGAAACTGCGCGGCCCAAAATTGACGCTGTCTCTGAGCGGCCCATCTTTTAGGAGGCACGCACCGTCTGTATATAAAGGAGTCTGTTGTGGTTGGGTGTAACAATATTTTGTATGGTCACAGAAATTGCTGTGTGTTAGTTTATTTTAAGCTCTCTACTCAGACGGCCCAGAAATTTAGTATCGTGAATGGAGGTCAGCCATGTAATGAATTTCAGGACGTGAATACTTAAGTGTATTTTGTAAACCGGTTTAGTTAGGACGATGCTTCGCTGTGCGATGGGTGCAGTATAAACTAATGTGGCGGGCAATAGCAGACGGATAGAGTAAAGATACAGTGCAGACCAATTTGGAAGATGAATCAAGTCGATCTCAAAGGCAGTGTGAATATAGTCAGGTTAAGGTGCAAGGGAGCATGGCAAGGCTGGATAGCATTTCTATCAGTGTAAGGAGTCTTATGAGGAAAGTAGACGTGTTGAGGATGTTCATCAATGCACGGGGATGTAGTATCCTTGATAACCATATTTGGTTGAGGGATGGACTGGACTGGTAGTTCAGTGCTCTGGGGTATATAAGTTTTAGGTGAGATTGGGTCAGTGGGACTTGCGAATGAGGCAGCATTGATCAAGGAGTCAATTACTGCTGCAAGGAGGGATGATATCTTAGGTTCCTCAAATTAGGCCATAAGCGATAGAACTTTAAAAAGAGAGAGGGAGTCACTTTGCTAGGGATGTACTTTCGACCCTCAAGCAGACATGGGGCAATGGAATGACAGATCTCTAGATAAATCTCTGAAGTGGAAAAATAATTGGAGATTTCAACTTCCCCAGTATCAAGTTGGATGACCAAGGTGTGAAAGTCTGAGAGGGTGTCCAATTCTTAAACTATGTTTAGGAAAGTCTAACACCAGTTGGAGGGAAACTGTTGGAAAATTCTGATGGACAGAATTAATCTCCACTTGAAAAGGTAATGATTAATTAATAATAGACAGCATGACTTTGTTAGAGAAAGATCCTCTCTTAAAAAGTATTAATTGAACTTTTTGAGATGGTAGATTAAGCTGGTGCAGTTGATAGAAGATAAATGGACTTCAGTTAGGCTTTTTACAGCGTCTTGTGTGGAAGACTGGTTAGGAAGCTAAGAGCCCATTGTATCCAGGGCAATTTGGCAAATTGGTTCTAAAATTGGCTGGTGGAAGGAGGCTGGCAGTGATGGTTGAAGGATGTTCTTAGAACAAGAACAGTACAACACAAACTGTCCCTTCGGCCCATGATGTTGTGCCAAATTAAAATAATCCCTACTGCTTGCCCATGGACCATAATTCCTCCATTCCTTGCTTATTCATATGCTTATCTAAAAGCCCCTAAAACGCCCCTAATCGTATCTGCCTCCACTATCTGTGGCAGTGCGTTCCGGGCAATATGTCTTAATTTTAAAAAAAACCTTGCCCCTCACACCTTCTTTGAACTTTCCCCCTCTTACCTTAAATGCAGGCCCTGTAGAATTAGACATTTCAATTCTGGGGAAAACAATTCTGACTGTCAAACCTGCCTATGCCTCTCATAATTTTATAAACTTATATCAGGTCTCCCCTCAGCCTCCAACACTCTAGAGAAAACAGCCCTAGTTTGTCCAGCCTCTCCTTATAGCTCACACCCTCTAATCCAGGCAGCATCCTGGTAAACCTCTTCTGCACCTTTGACTTTTTGCAACTGGAAACCTGTGACCAGTGGTGTATCACAGGGATCTCTTTCTGTTTGTTATATACATTAACGATTTTAGACACAAATGTGGGAAGTATGATTGGTACGTTCACAGATGACATGAAAATTGATGTAGCAAATAGTAAGGGAAAAAAAGCATTAGGCTACAGCACAATGTAGATGGACTCAACAGTAGCAAATGGAATTTCATCCTAAAAAGTGTGAAGTGATGTGTTTTAAGATGACTAACAAGATAAGGGAATATATATTTTATTGGTAAGACCCTAGGAAGGACAATGGATCAAAGACATCTTAGTGTGTATACCCATAGATCCTGCAAAACGAAGGCTGCAATTCAGATGATTAAGATGGCATATGGGATACTTGATTTTATTAGTCGAGGCATTGAATACAAGAGCAGCAAGGTTATAATGGAGCTGTATGTAATATTAGTTGGATGCAGTTGCAATACTGGTCACCACGCTATAGGAAGGATGTGATGATCTAAGGAGGGCATGTTGGAGGTTCACCAGGATGTTGCCTGTGTTGAATCATTTCAGCTAGGAAGAGACTCGACAGGCTGGGTTGTCTTTATTTTCAGGCCAGAGATAGCTAAGAGGGATCCTGATTAAAGTGTACAAGTTTGAGAGGTATATGGTAGATAGAGTGAAACATTTCCCTTTAGCACAAGGGCTAATTTTCAAGGGCCACAGCTCTAAGGTATGGAGCAGGAGGTTTAGAGGGGATTTGTGGGGAGAAAAAAGTCACACAGACAATATCTGGAACTCATCCTCTAAAACGTTGGGAGAGGCAGGATTCATCAATACATTTAATAAGTATTTAGCCGAGCATTTGGTCTGCCATAACCTACAAGGCTACATGCCAAACTGGAAAATGGAATTAGTATAGATAAATGATTTATGTACTTCTAGATGGTAGTGGTTGTGGGTTTTAAAGGTGTTGTCTAAGGATCTTTGGGGAATTTCTGCAGTTTATCTTGTAGATATGATGACTGAATCTTGGTGATGGGGAATTGAATTTATGTGGATTTTGTGCAAACAAAGTGGGCTGTTTTGTCATGGATGGTATCAAGTTTATTGAGTGTTGTTGGAGCTGAGTCCAACCAGGTAAATGGGGAGAATTCCATCACACTCCTGACTTGTGCCTTGTAAATGGTGGACAGGCTTTGGAAAGTCAGGTGTTAAGTTGATCACTGCAGGATTCCTAGCCTTTGAGCTGCCCTTATAGCCACTGTATTTATATGGCTAATCTTGTTGAGTTTCTGGTCATTCGTATATCCCGGGATGTTGATAGTGACAGATTCAATGATGGTAACGGCATTGAATGTCAAGGGCTATAATTAGATTCTGTCTTGTTGGAGAAGGTCACTTGCCTGTCACTTACGTGATATGAATGTTACTTGCCAGTTGTTACACCAAAATCAGATATTGTCCACAGCTTGCAGTATTTGGACATGGACTACTTTAGTATCTGAGGAGTTGCAAATGATATTTAATGTTCGACAATCATCAGAAAACAGTGATGACGTGGCTGAAGATGGTTGGGCCTCGGATGTTTCTCTGAGGAACACTGCAGAGATGATCCTGGAGCTGTGCCTGACTAACCTCCAGCAACCACAGGAGAGGATCCCCATCCAAATCCCATTGACTCTATTTTTGCGAGGGAATTCGGGAAGAGATTCCAGAATGGCTTAAATCTATGGGCAGTTTCTATGTTCCTACCAAAATGGACAACTTTGCACATGTCCACATATAAATGTGTCTACCATTCATTTGCTCACTCATTCAACTTGTCTAAATCACAACATGAAAATTTCACATCCTCCCTGCAACTCATAATCATATCTAGTCAGCAACATCAGAAAAGTTACACTTGATCCTCTCATTCAAATTGTTGATATATATTGTGAAATGCTGGGGCCCAAGCTCTGATCCTTGTGGTACCCCCATTTGACCTTCCACTGCAAAAAAAATCCTTTCATTCCTATTACGTTTCCTGTCTGCTAGCTAATTCTCAGTCTATGCCAACAAATTATCACCAATTCCATGTTTTTTTTTATTCTGCTCAATAATTTCTTATGGGGAACTTCTATCAAAAGTTTTCTGAAAATTCAAATGTGCCATATCCACTGGTTCTCCCTCATCTGTTTTGCAAGTTAGAACCTCAAAAATAACTCCAGTGGATTTGTCAAACATTCTTTCTCTTTCAAAAATCCATGTTGATCTTGTATAATCCTGTTGGTATTTTCTAAATGTCCTTTTATCCCATCCTTTACAGTAGACTCTAGCATTTTTCCTACTACTGATGTTAGGCTAACTGGTCTATGACTCCCAGTTTCCTCCCTCCCGATTTTTTAAAGACCGGTGTTACATTTGCCACCCTCCGATCTGCTGGGACTGTTGTGGAATCTGCAATGATTTGTCAGCTTTCAGTCCCATTAATTTCTCCAGCAATTTTTAAAACATAATATTAATCTGCTTCAATTCCTCCTTACTTCCATAGAATCATAGAACCCCTGCAGTGTGGAAACAGACCCTTCAGCCCAACAAGTCCACATGACCCTCAGAGCATCCCACCCAGACCCATTCCCCAATCCCACCTAATCCACACATCCCTGAACACTATGGACAATTTAGCATGGCCAATTCACCTAGCCTGCACATCTTTGGGTTGTGGGAGAAAACCGGAGCACCCGGAGGAAACCCACACAGACATGGGGAGAATGTCCACACAGACAGTTGCCCGAGGCGGAATGAAACCCAGGCCCCTAGCGCTGTAAGGCAGCAGTGCTAACCACCGTGCTGCCCAATCGCCCCCAGCACTCCTGGGAAGTTGGTTGTGCCCCCTTTTGTGAAGACAGAACTAAAGTAGTCGTTTAATTGATCTGCCATTTTCTTGTTTT